GTATAAATATGGAAATTGTTAGGTAGGTGTTGGGGAAGGGCGCGGGGGGTATTCTTACTGGTTTTCGGCATTATATGCTGATTTTAAAGAGCCTTTCTCGACCTTCCTTGATTTCGTCTCAAAAACCAGCTACAGAAGAAGATACTTACTCGATAGCGAACTTTGTCGGTAAGTGCATCGATTGGCTGCACGACGATGTAGGCATGAAGGAAATTGCTGGCTATCATATCCGGAGCAAATGGGGTGTTTGCTTCTTGGAAAATGATGGCGACAATGTCGTTGCCGATATGTCGTTTACGTTGTAGTTGTTGCTGATCCCCAAGGGTATACGGTAACATCGTGGACACATGGAACATTGCTTCACGACCACGGAACTCGGTGTACACGGCTTGAAGACCCGTTTGACCGTGAACGGTGTCGAGGCCACCACGATATCCCTATAATGCGCGAAGGACAATGTCTAGACGGACATCACGAAAACACGATGAGCTAAATATGAACGATACTCACTAAAAAGCCTTGTAGCTCAACTGTGTCGCCAAGAACATCTAGGAACTCTTGGAAGGCTGGTGAGCTACGGGCGTTCCCGAACAGTTCCTCTTCGCTGATCTGGCCAGCACGTTGATAGATTACTCCAAATTTGTAGGTGTTAGTCAGCACATGTTCGTCATACCTGAAAGAAAATAGCAGAATAGGCAGCTAGATCGATCCCCACTGAGATCACTTTAGTTACCCTTCTGGAGTTGATTCACTGGGTCCAAATAAAGGATTACGCTTCAAGCGCTGATCAATTCCTTCTCGGGATGTGCCTGGCATTCTACTTGCATTCAGAATTGCGACTACTATTGGAATAGGATTGAATGCGCAGTTTGGCTAGGGGGGGAGCAGTTTGTACATTTTATTGTCCTGCCGAGCCAACAAACAGAGGTTCGTGAAATCCCGTGAAGCCATGAGGTGACAGTAGTCAAAGTTATAGGAGGTGCTTCTAAACTCTTGCAAAGCAACGAATAGGGCAACAGGAAGTAGCGAAAGTGCAAGATGCCCCACTCCCTTAGCCGAAATGCGCCCGAATTAGCCTATAGAAGGACATGCAAGGGCCAGCCAATATACAAGTCGGTGTTTTTACCGGTGCAAGTAACCTTGGGAGGGAAGGCAGGAGCATTGAAAGAACTTTACGCATCTGAAGGTTCTCGGCCAAAGCTGGAATTATCGTCATCCAAACAGAACATGCCGTACTTCACGTTGCTTGACCCTCCCCGCAGCTCCTCCCTTCCTTGGAGCCCAGTCAAGGATCCTTATCTTCTTTACGTTACTCCCAATTCTAGACAAGGAGTCTTGTAGAAGGCCACTAATGCTATCAACGCCTTTTTCTCGTTCTAGACTGATCTGACACCCATTTACGTCAGAACGAGAGGGGAGGGACGGTTGACTTGCCTAGGCTGGCTCCGATCTAGCACTGGATTGTTTCAAGAAAGAACCCATATACCACCCCACAGAAAAATTGATTAATGGCTTCCTTGCAGCTCTTGCAAGCACTATTGTTCGGATATTCTAGTGACCATTTTCCGAGCTAACAAAGCGTGATCCGGGTGTGAAATCCCGGATCCAGGTTAACCAAGCTTTTTACCCTTCGAGGACTACAAATTGATACCAGATTTGTCTGGGGAGATGAAACACTGACTTGGTCGTCGGACGGACCACGCAAGTCAATGTAAAGGCCTATGACATTAACAATGCCACTACAATTCTGAATGTAAGTAGAATTCGTGCCGCATCCACAAAGGAATTGATCGACGAAGCTTCATCCTTTTATCCTTTACCCTATACGCTGAGAAGCTCTTCACAATCCTTCCTTTTCCCTCCCTTCGTAACCCATCCCTTCCCCTCTTTCGTTCTTCATCTTCTCATTTTGAACTAGTCTTCAAATGCAACCATCCCAAAAGTCTAAAGGTTCCAAAAGCGTAATGGGATTGCAATATAAGCAACATACGGGATGCGCCATGGGCTCGCTTTCAATAAAGAATAACATTGCTGATTGGAAGTTACCCTATCGCTTATAGCTATCGCGAAATCAGGTGCAGTATTAAGATGCTATTACGCTTCCAGCAATCCCTTTCCTCTCCCAAAAAGGATTCCGGCCCTTATTAGGTCATGACAGCTCCCACCACCTCTACTGGGTTAGAACAGCTCCTCTTGCCTGCCTAATATGATAGCCCAAGAAGTTCGTTCAAAACAAAGAAAATAAACTCACTGCACGATCAACTCAGATCCACCAGGGAATGCGACCGGCGTGAACTGCTCGCTGGTGATTTCCTCGCAGAGTAAACGAGCCATTCGTGACGCAGATGGTCTGTCAGACAAAGCTGGAATATAACCTTTTATATGACGAAAGGTGGTAAATTGGACCTATTGTGTGAGTCAAATACGCTTGCAAAGCTTCATCGATCCCTAGTGAAAGTCACATACATAGCGCATCCAAAGAAATCGATCGATCCGAACACTTCATCCACTTATCACCTTGCGTGGGGCCTCATGGTCAGCTCAGTTTACACTAGCTCAAGCAATCAGTGAAAATCAACTGGATTTTCGTCATCGTTGGCCTTGAATGATTATTAATGGCTGTTCCTTGCTGGCATGACAGGTATCTAGCTGAGAACAAAAGGCCGAAAAATTCCCATAAAAACCTGCAGAATTGCCGGGCAATGCATCATTCGCCCAACCCACCTGGTCGACTCATAGACCAGGCCAGTTTTTTCCTGGCAACACAAAACGCAAAGGAGGAGCTCCACTCCCTGTTGGTAAATAAGTAAAAGCCAACAAGGAAGGGCATGTGTTACTTTTGACCTTTTCTTGGGTAAGGACTACACGAACCGCATGTAGCCTATCGCTTGCAAGTGTGCTTTGGCAGATCCGAGGAGCTGCAACGGTGGCGAAATAGGCGTTGCGAATGGCATCATTCGCGCCGGGACCCAATCGATTCAACGTGGCAGCGTCAAGTCAACTAATAATGCCGCACGCAATGAGATGAACATAAAATTATGGGTTCAGGCTCATGCCGCTCTTCATTTGTAGCCGTTCTACTTAGGCGGAAGCTGAGGTGTTCTGTGTGCACATTCAGTTCCTACACACGCCACCTTACGCGCAGTTCTTGATACTGTACCCCGCCTATTGTCCCAAATCCATAATTCGAACTATAACCATCGTTTTTCCATTTTCTTGAATTATTTCAACCCCTTCAAATCCTCGTTCAAATGAGTTATGTACTAAGGTAAGCCTTACCGCTGGCCGAGATGATCTTGTGAACGGTTCCTTTCTTGGAGCGCAACATAATTCTGAAGTGGTCCTGCGACGAAATCACTTCAGTTCTCACGGATAGCACCAGTGGGCCAACCAGTGGATCCATTGCAAAGAAATCATGGTGTTCCTGAAAGAAAACGGTACAATAAAGCTACAACAATGGGTGTTAACACAGTGTGGGGGGGAACCATTCGACCCCGCCTCTGTGACGTCTGTGTTCTCTCTTGAGTCTGTTTGTCTGCGTTTTCTCACCTTAGAGAGGGGGCGTATATACTCGCTTTAAGAAAAGGAAAAGACGTGAGAAAACAAGTCAGACAATACACATTTCGTTGCTGCGCCTCCCCGTGGCCCACCCCAACTGCCTTTCCCCTCTAATCCTCCCCTCCACCCTAAAAAAACAGACACGTAAGTATGCAATGACTTACTCTGCCATAGAAATACCGTCGATAGCAGTGGCTGGTCTCGTCCGTTTCCAGCTTGAACCTGGCACAGCTGTTTGTACTGGTACCCATTATCTGAAACGGACCATCAGAGTCGTTCTAGGTACTGATAATGGACTAAACGAACCTCATGGTCGAGGTACATGTTGTT